TGTTTAATGCAAATCGTGAGCATTCAAGAGAGAAAACTGTTAACCCTGATCCATCCATGTGGAAGCTCTTATGTTCAAAGTAAGAAAAAGAGTAAGGACATGGTAGGCCCATTGCGGGGACAGGAAAGTGAAATTGTAACAGGTGATGAAGAGAGGGCAGAACTGCTCAATTCCTACTTTTCGTCAGTCTTCTCTTCCAAGGGAAATGGTGCTCAATGTGGCAAAAACAGAACACACGATGAGGGGAAGGGAGTTGTAGCCTAGTATCGACATGGGGTAGTACATAAACATCTAGTTTCTTTAAATGAAACTTAAGTCCTCGGTGCCAGATGACCCACATCCAAGGGTACTAGAAGAACTTACAGATGTAATTTCTGAGCTTCTGTCCATTATTTTTGAAAATTCTTGGAGAACAGGTGAGGAGCCAGAAGATTGGAGGTGGGCAAATGTTGTACCCATCTTCAAGAAGGGGAAAAAGGAGGATCCGGTTAACTACTGACTCATCAGCTTGACATCTATACCTGGGAAAGTTTTAGAATGAATAATCAAACAGACAGTCCTCGAGCATTTAGAAAGGACGGCTGTAAATACTAAGAGCCAGCATGGGTTTCTCAAGAACAAGTCATGTCAGACTAACTTTATCTGTTTTTTTTTTGAAAAAGTTACTACCTTGCTGCATCAGGGGAATGCTGTACACATTGATTTCAGTAATGCTTTTGATAAGGTTCCACATAATATTCTTGTTGACAAATTGGAAAATGTGGTTTGGATCCTATGACTGTTAGGTGGATCTGTAACTGGTTGACAGATCGCACCCAAAGAGTGCTTGTGAATGGTTCCTAATTTTCTTGGACAGGAGTAACAAGTGGAGTGTCTCAAGGATCTGTACTGGGATCTGTTTTGTTCAAGATCTTTATCAATGATTTTGATAAAGGATAGAGGGAATGCTTATTAAATCTGCAGATTATACTAAATTGGGAGGGGTAGCAAGTACAGTAGAAGACAGAGTCAGGATACAGGATGATCTTGACAGGCTGCAAAACTGGGCTAAAACAAATAAAATTTATTGTAATGGGGATAAATGTAAAGTTCTGCATTTAGGTAGGAAAAATCAAATACATAATTATAGGTTGGGGGAGACTTGTCTTAGCAGTAGTACGTGCGAAAAGGATCTAGAAGTCTTAGTAGACCATACACTGAACATGAGTCAGCAGTATGATGCGGTTGCTAAAAAGGCAAATGCGATTTTGGGCTGTGTCAATAGAAGTATAGTGTCCAGATCATGCAAAGTGATGGTACCACTTTACTCTGCTCTGGTTAGACATCACCTAGAGTATTGTGTTCAGTTTTGGGCACCACAATTTAAGAAGAATATAGGCAAGCTGCAACGTGTCCAGAGAAGAGCAACAAAGATGGTGAGGGGTCTGGAGACCAAGTCCTATGAGGAAAGGTTGAAGGAGCTGGGTATGTTTAGCCTGGAGAGAAGACAACTGAGAGGTGATATGATAACCATCTTCAAGTACCTGAAGAGCAGTACAGAGTTGTTTTCTGTTGGCCCAGAAAGTCAGGCCAGAACCAACGGGTTGAAATTAAATCAGAAGAGTTTTTGGCTAAACATTAGGAAGAACTTCCTGACAGAGTGATTCCTCAGTGGAACAGGCTTCCTCGGGAGGTGGTGGGATCTCCTTCTTTGGAGGTTTTCAAACAGAGGCTGGATTGCCATCTGACAGCAACGTGGATTATGCGAATTTAGGCAGAACATGAGAGGGAGGGCAGGAAGGGTTTCCTTGGTATTTAGTTCTTGTGGCCCTTTCTTACACACCCAGGGAAATACTGATTGCCATGCTAGGGTCAGGAAGCAGTTTTTCTCCAGGCTGGTTTGGCCAGGGATCCTTGAGGGTTTTTGTCATCTTCTGGGCATGGAACACCGGTCACTGTGGATGTGTGGGGGGAGGTACTTGTGAATTTCCTGTGTTGTGCAGGGGGTTAGACTAGATGATCCTGGAGGTCCCTTCCAACTCTATGAATAATTCTATGAACACAATGCAGGAGGGGAAGCATCACCCATGCCTCCCATTTTGCACCCAGTGCTGCCCCATCCATTGGCATGTCAGTTGTGCAGTGTGTGTATACAGCAGATCTGTTTCTGCAGTGAAATATATGTAAGGCCACTGAATAGAATACAAAGTAGACATACTATCCTGTTGTGTTTTCTGAATCCTTTGAAATGCATATGGTATAAATTGTGTGGACTAATATTTTTTAAAAAGCTTAGCACCACATGGGTCTTGCAATAAGCAAACTGATGTAAAGTTTTTATCTGGGTGGATAGTGTTGCTCTTCAATCTGAATTACCCAAGTTCAAATCCCAGCTCTAAACCTGCTTTCTCACCATTAGTTGAGGGTAAATAAAACCAAACTGCTGCGTTCTACATGTCATTCATAAATTAATAAATTTGCTGCATTGCAAACAGTAATTTTTGTAGGGGTCTTCGTAAGGCAAGGGTTAATGACATACCAGAATTCTTGTCTGGGTTTTTTTTTAACTTAAATTTTTTATTAAGTTTTTAAATTTAACAACATTACTACAAAGCCAAAACAAAAATATAACTATATAAACATTTAACGAGTGATGAACAAGGACTGTGAAGATTCTCATTCAGATCTTCACTCTGCCATAAGGCTGATAGGGTGACTGGGGGCAAGTTGTGTGCTCTTGGCCTTACCTATCTCACAGGGTTCTTGTGAGGATAAAACTGGGGTTGAGGGTAGAAACTTGTATGCTTTCCTGAGCTTCTTGGAGAAAGGGTGGCATAAAATGTAATAAAATAATAGTAAAACTTGTTGTTTATGAAATATCCAGTTTTGCACTTAATATGCTTCTGTGCTTTTTCTTAAAGGTTTTACCAACTTCATGCGTAGTCCTGCCTGTGATGTGTTTAACCCACTACACAGCGAGGTGCATCAGGATATGGATCAGCCTCTTTGCAACTATTACATTGCTTCTTCTCACAACACATATCTAACTGGAGACCAGCTACTCTCTCAGTCTAAAGTTGAGATGTATGCTCGAGTCTTACAAGATGGCTGCCGGTGTCTTGAAGGTGTCCTTTTTCTCTTAATTTGGGGTGGATATTGTCAGATTTTTGACACTGAATCTATGAGTGCAAGCCATTGTCAGTCTCCCTCTGTGTTGGTAGATGGACTTAGGTAGGTATGTATTTATTAATATTTTATCTGTGAATGCTGTGGGTAAGTTGGAAAGACAGCGTACCCTGGACCCCCAGTTGCTTGGAAACAACAGAGGGGAAACTCGTGGACCTTCTGAGGTACCTGGTTAACCACTTGGAAAACAGGAAAACTCAGTGGACAATTGGTCTAATCCTACAGGCTTCTTATTTATAGGAAAGCTGACAAAACTGGATAGCCATAGTTTAGAAGGAAGCTTAAGAGGAAATATACTGCAGTTCTTTAAGTATTTATACAGTTGCAGAGTGAAAAAGAAACAACATTTTTATCCTGTTCCTGAAGGAATGTAGGAAGGAAATACTTATTAGGTCATTTTGACAAAGTAGCAAAAAGAACTGCTTAACCACTACTTTGTCTTCCATGTTCTGGAAGGTGGGACAGTACTGATTATTCCAGAACCATGGTCCCAATGCAGTGGCTCCAATGTCATAGAGTCTTCCTTTGAGCAAGGGCTTTTAGATTTACTTCAGTTTCAAAACTTTGTACATACGTGGGACCCCTCTGAGTGGCAAGGATTATTTTTTCACTAAAACACTTGAATACAATGAGTGATTTCCCACTGAGTTTGATCAATTTTGAACAGGCTTCCCCCCCCACTTGACATAACATTCTCTGTATGTCCATATAAAGGGACCCCCCCCCCAAAAAAAACCCCCACAACAACAACACTGGTACAGTGCTCTGACATGGCATATTGCTTTTATCTTTTTCAACATCATTGTTGGTCAATAGTAAATATTGTTGATTATAACGTGTACAGCTAGGAATTTTGTATTTTGGGGGGAAAGCCCATCCAGGAAGGCTCATGATCTGAAAATATACATTTCATTAGAATGCAGTGTAATTCTTCAGAGGGCTTGATTAAACAATTCTGCCTTCAAGTACTATTGCAAAAAGCTGAAATAAGATTTTACAATTATTTAATGAACTACTTGGCTATGTATAGTAAAGGTAAAGGTTCCCTTGCTCGAAAGCCAGTCGAGTCCGACTCTAGGGTTGCGGTGCTCATCTCCGTTTCAAAGCCGAAGAGCCAGCGCTGTCTGAAGACGTCTCTGTGGTCATGTGGCCGGCATGACTAAACACCAAGGCGCACAGAACGCTGTTACCTTCCCACCAAAGTGGTACCTATTTATCTATTTGCAATTTCTTGCTTTCAAACTGCTAGGTTGGCAGGAGCTGGAACTAGAGACGGGTGCTCACTCCGTCTTGCGGCACCCGGGTCTCGAACTGCTGAACTACTGACCTTCCACAGCCTGCAGTTCAGCATCTTAACCACTTGAGCCACCGCAGCTCCTTGGCTATGTATAGAAAGTTCTTAAAATAGCATGCAAAGATCACTTATATGCAAATTTAAAATGTTTTCCAAAATAAATTGAAATAAAATATGTTTTCCATATGTTTTGGGTAAATTCCTCTTTCATTTCAGCAGTTTCTTATCACCAATAATAATAATGATAATTTCGAATAAAATATGTTGGACACAAAAAATAATAATGATGATTTGAAATCAAGATCCAATAGTAAAATGATCTGAAAATTCTGCTTACAAAGCAGACTGTCTTATTATATTGGAAAATCACCCCCCCCCCCCGGTCATACATAGACTTGGATGTGAGGGCGATCTGGCTGCGACATCTGTCACCCCATACATAGACTTTGCTTTCTGTCTATGCAGAAATTTGGGAATCTCTCACTGTTGCCATTTGCACATACAACTGCCTCACAGTGCAGTCCTAAACAGAGTTACACCCTTCTAAACCCATCAACTTCATTGGGTTTCGAAATTAGGATTCCACTGTCAATCAGGTAATTTGGTTTCATTTAACTGACTATCATATATTAAATTAAGCATGCACAGGGTACATTCATAGTCAAAAACCCAGATCTAAAGGAAAAAATTGTTTGTGCATGTTTGTACAGGTCATACTTTCAACGCAGCCCAGAACTATATGTATTCCACTGTTCAGATAAAGCATTCTTTCTGAATATATCTTTTAAACTCTGAAATTGTAATGACTGTGGCAGCTCTAGTAAGCATGGCAGCTCCATAGATAATGAGATCTTCCAAAGGATTAGTGTATTTGGAATTTGGTAAACATTTAATTTCTGACTAAATTAAGTAGTTACTGGTGCAAGTAGAACTGGGGCAGATAAGAGGACTATGTACATAAAAATCTATAGCCGCTTGAGAGTTTAGTCAGCCAGGATTTATAGAGAAATGTGTGAAGGAGTTGTTGGCTGGAAGATCTTACTGCCTCAATTGGGGCAGCCGGAAAAGCAGTTATTGTCAAGGAGATAGCTTTCCTCCCATCTCAGTTTTACAGTATTTTTATACAAATCAGTTCTCCTTGGTTGGCCAACAGGATTATCCTAGGGCCAGTTTTGATGCATGTATATTCAGCTGACATTGGCCAATAAAGCCAAACAGTAGGCAAATTATCATATTTACCTAAAAAAAATATTGAATTCTTAATGCGCACAGCTCCAGATCATCTCCGGCTGAGTAAAAGGCCAGTTAAATTTTTGCTCAGCCTTTTGTCATACTTTCCCCCTTGCTAATTACGCTTGATGGTAATAATAGCATAGCACTCAGCTTTAATCTTTTGCCAGCGTGAGCATGGTAGATTATAGAAGATGAGACTAGTTACATGTAATAAGAGAATGTCCATTTGCTCAGCAGGACTTGCACGTACCTGATTTCTTATGAGCACTTGGAACAGTTCTGTCTTCCCCTTTTTGGGAAAAAAGTACTAACTGTATCCTTCAAAATGATATTTGTTTAATGTACTACCTTCGTGTCTTAACAGTTGATTGCTGGGACGGTCCAGATGGAGAGCCCGTTGTGCACCACGGTTATACTCTTACTTCCAAAATCCTCTTTAAAGATGTAGTGGAAGTGATCAATAAAAATGCCTTTACAAAAAATGAGTAAGTTTAATAGGGACCTTGGACACATGTAGCAGTTTATGCAGTATAGTTTATACAGATTAGTATATTAATTGCTTCATGAAAATAGACAAAATCCTGTGAGTTTTTGGTCAGTGTTATGTTTATGTTGTCAGATTTTTAAAAATGTGGGTTTTTAAAAATTCTTTCAAGGTCCCGTTGATTGTGTCCCATTGATAACAGTTACATTGATTTTATTTGGATAGTAGAAATGGATACTGACTAGGGATGGGCACAAATCGCTTTTTTGTGGTTTATTTCAGTTCGTGTTTCAGGGCTGAATAAAAACCAATACAAACTAGGAGGCTAGTTTGTGAACCGGATCGGTTTGTATCAGTTCATGAACCCTGCTTTCTGCTCCCAGTTGCTTTTCATTTGACAGGGAACAGGGAACAGAAATCAGGGGTTTAAATGGAGCCATTTAAACTACTGCTTTCTGCTCCCCTCTGGTTAGGTAATATTTGTGAAGAGGGTTTAAAACCCCTGCTTTCTGCTCTTCACAAACCACCATGAGCCGCCTTAAATTTTATGGAAGTTCGTGGTGGCTCTTCAGTTCATGAAGTTCACGCAACAAATTCACCGAAATATGTCACGAATTTATGTTTGTGAGCCAGTTCATGCCCATCCCTAATACTGACTTTTATCCTGTGGTCAGGGTGTGTGTGGGTCGTTTGTACAGGTTCCCACTTCCCACTTTGTCCCTTGCCATGAACCCAAGGAGCAAAATTTTAGCGCTGTACAGTGGGAATGACTATTTTGTGAATTCTGCACTAGTCATAGTTCATTCTGTACAAAACTCTGTGGTTTAAGATGCCGTACAGAGAAAGTAAAGTATACTCACCTTGTACCCAGATCATATACATGTTTATATGGAAATCAGCCCCACTGAATTAGGGTGGACTTTTTAGTAAATTAGCATAGGATTGCTGCTATAAACGTATGAAGGCATGTTTAAGGCTGCAGCCCTGAAATTAAATACTATAGCTTTTTAGAAGGGCACTGCTGTTAAAGCCATGAATGGAGCTGCAGTACTGGCTAATAAGAAAGAAGGGAGTTTCTTCACTGTATCCTTTCTAGTCTTAACCACCATGGCTGTTTCAAGAAAAATAGTGACTGTGGCAGCCAGAGTAATTTTGACATTTCCTAACTCTGTGAATCAGTTACCCCACACACATTTTGTAGCCGCGAGCCTGGTTAGAGAATGAGGGATAGGACCAAGAGAACAGAATGCTCATTAGAGACCTGGGAAGGATGTTTGTTGATCCTCGGTATATTCAGGCATTAAAGCTGAATGGAAACCTTGTTCAGTCCTTGTAGAAAGGAGAAAGCAGACCTGTGAAATTGAGACTGTGCTACTTTCACCTTTGGAACTGATGTTGGGTGGCCGGTTGGGCTCCGACCCAGAAGATCTGAACCGGGGATTACAGGCTGTGGCTGGGTGGCTCAGGCTGAGCCGGCTGAAACTAAATCCAGCGAAGACGGAGGTCCTGTGCCTGAGCCGGAACGATCCGGGGTTGGGGCTCCCTCTCCTGACCTTCGATGGGGTGACTTTGGTGCCAGCGTCAGAGGTTAGGAGTTTGGGAGTGCTCCTGGATCCCTCCCTAACTATGGAGGCCCAGGTGGCAGCCACTGCCAGATCTGAATTTTACCATCTTAGACAGATTCGGCAGTTGGTTCCCTTCCTCGACCGCGACGACCTGGCTACAGTGATCCATGCGACGGTCACCTCAAGGTTAGACTACTGTAATGCTCTCTACATGGGGCTGCCTTTGTCGCATATCCAGAAGCTGCAGCTAGTCCAGAATGTGGTGGCCAGGCTGTTAATGGGCCTCCCCAAGTGGGAGCACATCCGGCTTGGGTTGAAAGCGCTGCACTGGCTGCCGATAGCATACCGAATCTGCTTCAAAGTGCTGGTACTCACCTTTAAAACCCTACATGGCCAGGGTCCGACTTACCTGAGGGACCGCCTTTCCCCACATAAACCCCCAAGAGCACTTTGGTCAGGGACCCAACATCGCCTGGTGATCCCAGGCCCCCAGGAGGTAAAGCTTGCTGCGACCAGGGCCAGATCCTTCTCAGTGGCAGCCCCTACCTGGTGGAACGAGCTCCCGGAGGAGATCAGGGCCCTGCGGGACCTTAAGCAGTTCCGCAGGGCCTGCAAGACAGAGCTCTTCTGCCAGGTTTTTGCATAGGGGCCGCCGCCACCACCACCAATGGTGGCAATAACATTAGGACTAGGCCCTTGGAAGTTTCCGCTATGAATTGTATGGCACTGACACTGTGGGACTGGCTTGAATTATCTACTGGACAGTATCACCCCAGGGAAATGACTGACGTCATCAAAACCACTCAAAGACCATCTTGTTTACAAAAGGCACTTTATTATTGTTATTGTTATTATTATTCATGATTTTATTGTTTTATCTGGTTTTATGCATGGGCTCTTGCCCCTTGTAAGCCGCCCTGAGCCCGTTCGCGGGAGGGCGGGGTAAAAATGCCTAAATAAATTAAATAAATAAAAACTGTGGGTAATTATGCAAGCCTGTTTCTGTCTTCCAAGCTTAGGGACAGTCTGCAACCTCAGGAAAAAGGAACCGTTTATTTTGAGAAGAATGATGATATTTTTATTTATTTAATATAGAATATACCCAGCGTATTTAACAAACAATTAACAACCTCTCTTCCCAGTAAAAACCATCCAAGAAATTGCAAAGTAAACCAATCCCATTAGAAAATTCAAGTAAAAAGTTACCCAATTAACGCCTCAAATTGGAAAATACCTTAGGAAATCCATATTACAATGACTAATTACAAGCCACCCAGTAAAATCCATTAAGACTGTTCTAACCCATAATAAGTTGTTAGAGCTATTAAAGGCTATTATTTGTCTCCTAGGAAACAGAAATGATATAGCCAGCAGGGCCTCCACTGGGAAGGAGTTCCACAGGGTTGGGACTAGTGATGCCAGCTACCATGTGGGACCTGGGGATCCTCTGGAATTACGGCTCATCTCCACAATACAGATATCGGTTCCCCTGGAGAAAATGGATGCTTTGGAGGGTGGATTCTGTGGCATTGTATCCCACTGAGGTCCCTGAACTCCCCAGGCTCCGCCCCCAAATCTCCAAGAGTTTCCCAACCTGGATATGGCAACCCTACTCCCTCCATCCCCTGATGGTGGCCCGGGGGGGACCTGGCAACCCTAAGTTGGGATGATTACTGAGCAACCTAATGTCCTCCTGTGATAGAGTCCAGAGTAGAGCCTCGCTCACAAGAGTTTAATGAACAGAAGGTTCCTATATGTGTGAGGGAATAGGAAGCATGAAATGGGCTACTTAACTAATAGCCAGTTTCCATGCTTGCTTGGTAGGGTTTCTATCCCATAAAGAAGATAATGGCATTAAAGGATTGTAGAAATGATTATATTAACACACAAGTAACAGTTATTATATAAAAACACACAGGGTATAGTTATGGGTGAACTGTTGACACCTTGCATTTTTCCCTCCTGCTAGGTTTCCTATTATATTGTCTATTGAAAATCACTGCAATATTCAACAGCAAAAGAAAATTGCTCAGTACCTCAAGGAGATTTTTGGTGACAAACTGGACTTGTCTTCTGTGAGCATTGGGGATTCCAAGCTGCTTCCAAGTCCTCAGAGTCTGAAAGGCAAAATCCTAGTCAAGGTAAATAATTAATACCAGTATGCAATTAAAACCAGTTATCACAACTAATACAATACCATAAAACATTACAGTAAATACAACCTTTTGAGATTTGGCGGCCATCCGTTATAAAGTGCTAGTGCTTATGTGCCATGGCCAGTGTGGCCAGGGCTATTAGAATGCTTGTCGGAACAGCTCAGTCTTCACCGCTCTACGGAATTACAGTAGCTGTGCCCCAGATGATATGGTATGTCATGAATCCCATGAGCAGGTTGTCACTGAATGTACTTGTTTCACTGCTGCACAGTCCCTAGTGTTTTTCCATTGTCCTTGATCCCTTCCAGTCCGGCTTTCGCCCGGGTCATGGGACAGAGACAGTGCTGGTTGCCTTGACTGACGACCTCCGTAGGCATCTGGAGCGGGGTGGTATGGCGGCACTGGTGTTGTTAGATCTGTCGGCTGCGTTTGACACGGTCGACCACCAGTTGCTGGCCCACCGGCTTGCTGACGTGGAGATTCAGGGGCTTGCCCTTCAATAGTTTGCCTCTTTTCTCCAAGGTTGGGGACAAAGGGTGGTGATAGGGGATCAGCGGTCCCTGGAGTGTGGGGTGCCTCAGGGGGCTGTGCTGTCCCCGATGTTGTTTAACATCTACATGCACCCCCTTGCCCAGGTTGCCCGGAGTTGTGGGCTTGGGTGTCATCAATATGCAGATGACACCCAGCTCTATCTGATGTTAGGCGGTTGGTCAAACTCTGCCCCAGATGACCATCATAGGATGTTACAGGCTGTGGCTGGGTGGCTCAGACTGAGCCGGTTAAAACTAAACCCGGCAAGACGGAGGTCCTGGGCCTGAGTTGGATCGGTTCAGGATTGGGGCCCCGACTCCCAACCTTCGATGGGGTGCCTTTGGTGCCGGCGTCGGAGGTTAGGAATTTGGGTGTGCTCCTGGACTCCTCTTTAATGATGGAGGCCCAGGTGGCAGCCACTGCCAAGTCGGCCTTTTACCATCTTTGGCTGACTCTGCAGTTGGTCCCCTTCCTTGACCACGATGACTTGGCCACAGTGATCCATGCGATGGTCACCTCGAGGTTAGACTACTGTAATGCTCTCTACTTGGGGCTGCCTTTGTCGCAAGTCTGGAAGCTGCAGCTAGTGCAGAATGCTGCAGCCAGGCTATTGATGGGTCTCTCTAGGAGGGATCACATTTAGCCTGTGCTGAAAGCACTACACTGGCTGCCAATAGCGTACTGGATTCGCTTCAAAGTGCTGGTTCTTACCTTTAAAGCCCTGTATGGCCAGGGTCCGGCTTACCTAAGGGACCGCCTTTCCCAATATGTTCCCCCAAGGGCACTACGGTCGGGGAGCCAACATCTCCTGGATATTCCAGGCCCCAGGGATATTAAATTTGCTGTGACCAGAGCCAGGGAATTTTCGGTGGTGGCTCCTACCTGGTGGAAGGAGCTCCTGGAGGAGATCTGGGCCTTGCAGGACCTTTCTCAGTTCCGCAGGGCCTGTAAGACAGAGCTCTTCCGCCAGGCTTTTGAGTAGGAGCCGCCGCCACCACTATTCCATCACCGCAATTTATGCATCATCGCGCCACTTCCACCATAATGTGGTTCCATCGGGGTGCAAGGTGACCCTGGAAGGAGAAGGGATCACAGGCTATTGGAATGTTGCCGTTGGATTAAGTTCTACCCCATCTTGTGATAGATGGAGCGCTGACACTTTTGTTGTTTGTATTATATTGTTTTATTCTGTTTTATACTGTTTTTATCTGTTTTAACTTTGGCACTTGTGCCTCGCTGTTAGCTGCCCTGAGCCTTTGGAGAGGGTGGGATATAAATCCAAAAATAAAATAAATAAATATATAAATTGTTTCTACACATGTTGGAAACAAATGTATGTTTGGTGGAGGGATGGACTGCAGGGAGTGTTGAACATGTGAAGCAGCCTTAATATACAGTCAGATTCTTGCTCTATTAAGGTCAGTCTTGTCTCCTCTAACTGGCAGCGGCTCTCTAGCCGGATAAAGGTCTTTGGGTAGAGGCCTTTTATGTCACCTGCTACCAAAGCTGCGGTGGCTCGAGTGGTTAAGACGCTGAACTGCAGGCTGTGGAAGGTCAGTAGTTCAGCGGTTCAAGACCCGGGTGCCGCATGATGGAGTGAGCTCCCATCTCTAGTTCCAGCTCCTGCCAACCTAGCAGTTCGAAAGCAAGAAATTGCAAGTAGATAAATAGGTACCGCTTCAGTGGGAAGGTAACAGCGTTCCGTGCGCCTTAGTGTTTAGTCGGAAATGTCTTCAGACAGCGCTGGCTCTTCGGCTTTGAAACGGAGATGAGCACCGCAACCGTAGAGTTGGATTCGACTGGCTTTCGAGCAAGGGAACCTTTATCTTTACCTTTTTACCAAATTATAAACTGGATATATGAGGAATTGAGACTGGGACATTCTGCATGCTAAGCAGGTACTCTTCCACTGAGCAACAACCCCTCCCCAAGTGTTTCCCATTCATCCAGCAAGAGAACAGGCAGAAAAGTGTTCACTCCTACTCTCTCTAAAGGAAGAACCATCAAATTAGACAGCCCATGTGGAGAGGAGGTTCCTCCCAGTTTCTGGGTCTGCTGTTTTTGAGATAGCAGGGTTTATTTGCAGTTCCTAATTGCTATCCTGAGAGCGCAGTCAACTTGGTTAAGCAGTCTTCAGGTGCTTTCTACCTGATGCTTTTGGGTAGAGTGTGGAAGATTAGACCAAGGGCAGTGTCTACTTGCTTTAGGTTGAAGCAGTCCCTTTCTGAGCCTTCTCCTCCATGGCTATTGCGTAAAACATTGCAACAAGCAGAAAATAAAGCTGTCGATGCATCCATTTTCTCTGCTGAGGCCCGTTTGCTTCTTAGTCTGGGAAAGGTTCATCAGGCAGCCACAATGGGTGCTCACGAGGGAATAACAAGCAGAGTGTGTATGCCATGCAAAAGCAGTTTTGACACCAGGGGCATACAGGAAATTATAAAGGGGACTAGAATTGGCCTGTACTCTTCATTAGCAGCACCTATGGTGGCGTTTTTGCAATGGATAACCTTTTGGGGGGGGGCGGGGGTGAAAGTTAGAAATCAGGAGTACTTTCCTAATTGTAAAACCCTGGATAACTTGGGAAATGGTTGGACTTGTATAACTTACATTTGAGACGGGACAAGGAGGGGAGTTCCCCCTCAGATAGTTCAGTATCCCCCTTCCCAGGGTTTGATTGGTGCTCCTCAGCCTTCCTCTTTCTCTACAGAGATATGATGGGTCAATGAATGGCTTCAAGGCTTTCCAAACAGAGATTGTGTAGGAATGTCCCTTCCCCAATTGATGCAATGAAAAGGGGAACCCCAGAAGACTGAAACAGAGACTGGTAATATTGATCGGGGGGGGGAGAGGAATGCACTGTCATCCAAACCCATGAACAAGAGGTGCCTGGTGGAGAAAGAAACAGCAGTGCTGATCTCAGTGGCTGTACCTCCTCTAGCATTTGCTTCCACCCCAAATGCCAAGATTGCATGCAGACTGGAGGATTCAAATTGGACTTGGATCTAAATCTCCTTGCTGCATTGTTAATATTGTCTATGCTCCTACCCCCTCTTTTTTTTTTGAGACCTAGAAATTTTTCCATAATTATGGCAGAAAGGGGTGTTTGTGCATGAAAGGACTGTCTAATGTAAGGATGCCCAGAGGGTATGGTGGAACCCTTACGGTGCCTAATCAGAGAAGGTTGGGTTATACTGTCTTTAAGTGTGGTGCTTCACTTTTGTTCATGCTTATGGAAGCAGGTGAAGGGGTGCATCGTTTGGGTAGAGGACCAAAATTCCCATCTACTCCAGCCATTCAGAATCAAGTCCATTCCTATCTGTGTAGGATTCATCCATCTTCCTTGGTTTCCACTAGCATGTGACAAAATGTTGCCAACTACCTTCTATTGATATAGATATTTGCAAGCTGGTCCTCTACTGCTAGAGTGTGACATTGGCTTCACCGGATGCATTTTATTTCCTCCTCCTGTTTCGAATGGGTGATATTTTATTAGTGATGTAATGACCGCAAAACATATGAAATGAGCATTTTATGTAGTTCAGTGCTGTTCATATCAGTATTTGGCACTAATCAAAAACCACTGCTTTGTGATATGTGCTTTTAATTTCCTGAGCATCCGTCTCTGTCAGACCTTTTATTAACAACACACATCACAGCTGAAGTGGTCCTGCAAGAAAGATTTTGTCATTCTAAGTTGCATTATTGATCCAACAAATCAATCTTGTACACTCAGTATAAAAATTAACTAGTGCTTCAAGATAAAGCCCCATAGAAATAGAAAAATAAATGCTAGATAAATAAAGGGTAAAAGAAATACTATGCGTACCAGTCTTGCACCTAGCCACTTGCATTGGGTAAATATTCCCTTCAGGAAGTAACCAGAGCTTGTTGATTGGATGTAAATAATTAAGGGTATATGCAAGTGGGTGGGCATGTGTTTTTGTGGCTCTTCCCTGGCCCTCTGTTCAGTCATCCTCCATTGGGAGGGCAAGTAGGTTTGTCTTGTTCCTGTATTGTGTGTAGCTAAATCATTCAGTCACTCTTAGCACAGATATGCAGGAGAATTACCTGCCCTTAGAGGAAGCTCCCTGTTGAATGAGTCACTACTGTTTGCTTACCATCATTTAATCTAGCCCAGAACAGAGACTCACACAAAAACATATGGTGTGGAGATTATTCCAGTGCAGGTGATTTGTTACTACATTTTCAGATATATAAGGACTAGGAAAAAGGCCTGTTGTGGAAATAAATACAATGGCCTCTAGAAAGAGGCTCTGGGCGGGTGCCCCAGCCTTGGACACTCAGTGTCAATTTGCTGTGGCGATCTCAGCAGGGTATAATGACACCATTTTCTCCAGAGGAACTGATCTCTGCTACCTAAAGAACAGTTGTAATTTTGAGTGATCTCCAGCCCTCACCTGGAGATTGGCAACGATGGTTCACCAGAAGGGAAT